TAGGTTATGCGAACCAGTGGTCTCTTGTATAATTGAATTGATGATTTTTATTCGGTTTCGACATTAATTTGAGTTGTCTCTGTAGAGTTAGGGTCAAGTTACTGGCATATTCATAACATCATGAACCTGCGAATGTCTGTGAAAGCATTTATGCAAAGTTTGATTATTTATTCACGATCATATTTGAATATTTGATTTCATTGGTTCAATTTGATTAGGACACTGACTGAAATTCTGATAATGATGCACAACAGAGCCGGATAGTCACACATGATTCAAGAATAATCAAACCTAGATGGTAATTTCATGGCTGTCAAAACTGTCAATCATGAAGCCATGAAGCTGTTGAGTAGCCACTTCACTGCATGCCCTACATGCACTGTCACACCCTCTCTACCCATCACGTCGCTCTAATTGTACCATCATAGACACCCTTCCAGCAAGTCATGACGAACTTTTCGATCTTCCATTTGATCAGAATACCAATGAGTAAAATCTAGAGTAAAGAGTGAGCGTCTACTATGAAGACGCCATCTGTGCTCACTTTTTATTATTACTGGTATTTAGAATTTTTTGTTCATCATTTCAATGAAAACTTATATCAGTTACAGGTTGCATTATTGATTTTTTAAGATACTCGGTTTTATTATATTAATTCTATGATTATTATGTGATGGAATTGGCTGATACTTGAAGAAAATCCATAACGTATTCAAGAAACAGTTTATTGTGAGATTTGTACTAAGCAGTGTTAAAAGGCAACACGTGTTTCACTATAAAATACCTTGTGATGTATTGTTTGTAACCTTTGGTGTGGTAATGAATATTACTGGAGTTTTTTCCCAACACTAAACTGTTATTTTAACACCTCGACACGTGTTTCGATCACCAAGTGATCATCTTAAAGAGGAAGATCAAACCAGTTTGATCGAAACACGTGTCGAGTTGTTAAAATAATTCGGTATTGGAAAAAACTTCAGTGACACGCCTGAAGAAGTAAAACTATTTAGTGAAAATCTAACAATGAAGTGTTTCTTGAGTTCTTTGATTATTTCTTGTAGAAACATCATTCAATATTGATTCTGTCAATAAGTGGCATCCTACGATCAATCTTCAGAAATATGTGTGGGGTTTATGAGATTTACGAGAATAGTCGTTCAAATTAGCTTCATGGTTATATATGTATGAGTCGTGCATATAATTTTATTCCCTCATAAATATTTATATTCGAGAATCCAAATATATTTTTTATATTTTTTCTCAAATATAGTTTATGACAAGTAAAAAAGATTTACTACAGTAATTATATCATATTATGGAATGACGACTTTGAGAATATACAGGAGGAACCCATTAGTATCGTAACTATGTAAGTATCATTTTTTATGAAGGATAAATAATAGTAACAAAGATCAATAGGTTGGAACACTGTTCTGAACCAGAAGAATGAATACACCTCAGGAAACTCTGATGATGATAAAGCTCAGATAAAACCGTCTTTGGAGTATTGTTCTCATGTATTAAATTTTGCCCCCAAACATATCCCGAAGTTGCTGGATTCCATCCAGATAAGAGCCATCCGCCTGATTGGAGACGCGAACATCACGTGCTACCTTGATAGCCTGGAATATCGAAGAAAGGTTGGAGATTTGTCGCCGGGAAATATTCAAGTGACTCGGCACATTTGACTACACCAAGAGCGGTACACAGAAATACGCGACTGACTGAAACTGTTCACCGTTTTAAGCTTCACCTCAGTACACCTCGAACTTCACTGTTTAAGAACTCTTTCATCTGAAGAACTGCGTTTATGTGGAATAAACTTCCTGGGAACGTTTTTCCAAATGGATTTAATCTCCGGTGATTCGAATCACTATTTCCGCACAGGCACCGCTCTGAGAGCGCTTTGAGAATTTTCTTGTAGTGCTTGTGTTTTGTACTTGGAAAAAAGCATTTTTGCCAATCTTGACGCGCGTTTCATCAACCAAGTGGGCGTTTTCAGGAGGTAAACTGATCAATTTGTCAGGATTTTTGAAAAATTCATGTAAATTTACTGAATGGAAATTTTTTCTTTTGCTTTGTGACTGAATATTTAAATAATAGCAAGGCATTTTCAGCTAAATTGTACTGACACGAGTTGGTTAATCCCACAATTGTCCTTAATTCAAATTTTGTAAGAATATACCTAGCTATAGAATGAAAATTATTCTTATTCTTCGTAATATGCAGTATATCAAACAAAACTGAGTGAAATCAATTTCGTTAATTAGTGAAACAGCACAATTTTAGTGGAATGAACAACATGTTGTGTATATTCCTTACAATTACTTCTATTGTATTGCAAATATCTCGTTTTCTATGGATTCTATGCTGTTTGTATTTACTATAAATATTATAGATAATTGAATTATCTATAATTTTTGTTTAAACATTTTTTTAAATCTTGAACCATTTTCGAGATAGAGGGCAGAGCGTGCGCAGTGTTTAACTATTTAGAACAGGCCAACCTGTAGTCTCGATTAAAAACACGCCATATAAAGTATATAAATTATTAATGAATATGTAATTCTGAATAATTATGATGCAGGAATTCTTGTATATTGTTTGATATTCAGACTATAATAAAAACGTGAAGGTAATGGAGCAACAGAGAAGAACTGCTGCCAAAGATGATGCGGCTGTTCTTATTATTGAAACACCTATTGATGAATTCAAACGGCAAAAAAGTGCTGGTTTGATAGGAGAAGATATAGATTTACTTGTCATTTTAATTGGGCATACCCTATCCCATCATCAAAAAATTTTCTTGAAAAAGTTGGCAAAGGAAATGTAATAACTGAAATATACTTTTCCAAACCCGTGGGTTGGGCTACCTATCGGGCGAGTCCCCAGGTGGCGGAGAGGGGAACGTCCAGGGGACTGGGGGCCCTGTCCGGGAAGCCCTACCGAAGGGGTCGCGACTCCTGGTCAGTGGCAGAAATAAGTTGGGTGAGGGGACGTAAAACTCCCCTAAAGCCTTTGCGAAACATGCCACCGTGGATCAGCCTACCCAAGCTAAGGTGTAAGGAATCGTACCGACAGCGTGCCCGGTTCCCTTTGGGGAACCGGGCCAAACCTCATTGTAATCAGCCTACCTCTTGTAATGCGAGGCTCTGCAGAGGTGAAAAACTCTTCCCCTGCTACTCGTGGGAACACACATGAATGAAACAAACACAAAAACAAAAACCAATCCCGAGACTGGACAGAAGTGCTCACCTCAATCTGAGGTGGTTGGGGAAGAATAGAAATGTTCACCCCAATATACCGCTCGGAATGAGACCGGATATAGCAGATCACCTCGTGATGTAATATAAAGCCCAAGGCGTAAGCGCATTTATGGCGCCGAAGCCAAAAGGAGAAAGAGAGTGAAAGAGGTAGGAGTGGAAGCAACTATAAGTGCACCCTCCTCCTCCCCCACTTCAACTCCAACAGCAAAAGCACCTCCTGCGGCGGGCGCCAAGAGCTCCGCATTCAATGAAGGCAAGGAACCGGCTGCCTCTGCAGGAAAGCGCCCTTACGTGTGCACCTCCATGGAGGGGATCTCAAAATTACAGCGACATTAATGCCCAGCCACAGTAATGTCGCTGCACCTCCCAAAACCTTCGCGGAGGCCGTCGTGAGACACCTCAAGGTTACCAAAGAGGATGTGTGTCGATATGAAGTAGGTGTCTCCTAGTGACCTGTCCACCTTCCTGGAAAGAAAAGGATGAACAATAACCTAGGAGGACAACTCCTCGGGAGGATGTACAATAGGTCACATGTGGCTTAAGTGATGTGGGCCTACACTCACTCTCCCTTCTCTACAGATACCGAGATATAGATACTCTTCCAAAAGTTTTGATAAATATATTCGTTATGAAAAACACATTTTGTTTTTTCACGCGGAAAGTGGCAGTGAGACGACTTCTGCGATCTTCAGAAAAGGAAAAAGACTTTTGTAAAAGCACTTGAGAAACTCCCAGATTTGGATCAAATTGTTACAGCATTTGAAAAAGAGTAAGTGTTATTGAATCAATAGATACTGAATTATTGAAAAAAAATTATAAACTGATAGTTAACAAAAAAATAGAAAATTATTCAGAATTACGTATTAATCAATAATTCATAAACTTCATATCAAGTAGGTAAGTGTTATTAAATTAATAGATACTGAATTATTAAAAACTAATTAATTTAACGTAATGGTTGATAAAAAAATGCTAATTATTCAAAATTCCATATTTATCAATAATTTATACGGCGTTTTTCTAATCGGGACTACAGGTTGACCTTGAATGATACTCTAAATAGTTAAACACTGTGCGTGCTCTCCCTATATCTCAAAAATGGTTCAAGATATAAAAAAAATGTTTAAACAAAAATTGTAGATAATTTAATCCTCTACACTCTACAATATTTAAGGCGAATACAAATAACATTAAACCCATTGGAAATGAGATATTGTAATGATTGTGTAAAAAATCAATTTTCTGACCTTGAACCTTGTAATATCTGTAGTCACGGATAAGAAGGTTATTAGACAAGTTTTAAGGTGTCAAAATAAAGGTTCTAACAAGTTTATAGCTGACTATATCTCATTCTTAGGTGAAACCCTTAATATTCCTGGTGTATAGAGATGAAAATGACGTTTGTGTTGTGGATGTACTATCACCGAAAACTGTCCATTAATGTGCGGTCGTGACGAATATCTTATCGTCACTTCAGAACCAAACTACGCATATTTTTACACAATCGTATGATCTTCAGCGAGCCTCAATTAAACTATTATGAATATTTGTTCACATATGGAATGAATGAGTCACCTGCTCAGAATTCATCAGGAAACGCCGGTTTCTCCCTATAAATAGAGTCATGAATTATGCAAGTCGTTTTGAAGAAAACAATTATGACGTATAAAATTTCAGAACGTTAGATAAATACACCTTCGATATGTAATCCAGATCACTTTTTCCTTTTACCGATTCTCAGGGAGACAACCCTACTTGTTGACCAAGAGACCAGATAAACTTCAGTTAATCTCAGGTGATCGAATCGAACAGATCGACCTCTTAAAAAACTGAAACACTTTCGATTTCAAGTGAGGTGCTTGGGCAGAGCACACGCGATTCGTGAACTACCGGGTGGTCACGCAATGAAGAATAGTTGTTGAACAGTTCGAGAATTAATTTTGCAAAATGAGACTATTGGGTGTCATCATTTTGGCTGTTTTGGGGAGCGCGCTTGCCAAAGATTGCCCCAGCAGAAAATCGAATTCGAAACTGTTTTGCTACTTTAGCAAACTGACTGAAATCGATGGTTGCTACTGTTCCCATGTTATCCTGCCGGCTAACTCAGATGTCAAGTCTGTTGAAAGGGCCAGACAACAAATGAAAGGGATGAAGATTCTCATCACCGTGAACGAGTTCAATCAGGTATGCAGCAATAATAGTATTAAATTCAGCCAGAGAATAGAAGCTTTAAATTATGATTATATAGACCCGTTACTTGATGGAAATTAATAACACTATACATGATAATAATTGCATGCTTTTACCACTTTAAATTCATCACAAGACGCGTTTCACACTGTACCTTCATCAATTTAATTTATACTTAGTGTGAAAACTATGTAATTGTTATCATGGATAGTATAAAGTTTCGAGTTCGAATTGAAAAGTGTCCATTTTTGTAAGATACTTTGGCTTTTCACAAAAAATAGTAAAAAAACTTCCAATGGAAAAAAGAAAGCAATAATATCAAAATGAACTCTTCACAAAGATGTGTTGATCATACATACCAAGTTGCTTTCTTCCTTCCTTTGAAGGTTTTCCTACAATTTTTTGTATTGAGATTGGGGTGTAGAAAGTCAAAAACGTTTTTTTCCAAAATTTTTGAAGTATTTTGGATGCTTTGAGACTCTACTTCTCGTTTCGATCATTCATTGATTATTTTTCAGGCTTAATTATGTTAGGTCNAATTTTAATTGGTTATTCTGAAAAAATAAAAAAATAACAAGTCAGTGGTCTACTTCATTTTCTTAATATAGTTGACTGTGGTGCCCACTGAGACTCCATTGGACCTAATAATTTCAATCTAGTTAGGGCTTCAGGGCTTTTAACTTCATCGCCCTGAATCCCGGAAACGAAGCTACTCAGGACATATGTTCATGAGAACTTTTTTTGAAACTACCCAACGAATCACCCTCTGAAGTTTCGTACCGTAGTTAGAAAATACCCTCCATATCAATACCTACATATAGTGTGGACCGTACATATACCCTACATACACATTACAGGTCACTGTTACAAATTGTTTAAAATTTATAAGCTTCTGAATACAGGACACAATCAGGAATTGACGAATTGAGTTTTGTCGCAAACAAGTATTCCGTTTCCATTCTAAAGATATTGCTGTTATTTGTATCGTCAATTTCACTTTTCAACAGTTCATTTTTCAATTGAGGCAGTAGATTTCGAAAAATGAGTTTATAAAGAAAATCTACCAGAAAGCAAATATCATGTATTTTTCACTTTTGAACACTGTGTATTTGGAACTATTACTTATTACAATTTAGTACTTAGAATTTGATGCTTGTAATGATGAAATGAAAGCCAATTTTCCAATTGTCAATATCATTTTAGCTCTCAAAAGTAAGAGGTGAACAATGTGAGCATTCTATATTTCTTATATGGAACCACTTGAGGTTACATAAAAGTATTAATTCGAATCATTGCTAACAACATCTTGACTGAGAAAAGGGATTGGAAACTTCCATAAAATATTAAATATAATAAAAGCTGAAGCACCACACTCTATTCATATCCTACTGATAGGAGCTGGTAAAGGAAGGCTGAAAATGTATATGCTAATTTCAAGATTGTTATAAATATTCATTGTTCCCACGCCAATGAGTCATTCTTATGCGTTACGGGCGGGCTATTGTGTAATATTGATATCATTCTTCCTAGATCAGTGGAAATAAATTACTGAATTTTTTGAAAATCGGTAATGTTAAAATTTTGGCTATAGATTCCGAATTTATTCCAGGGTTGTAACTCAATTGCACCAAGTTAGAACGGTTGAAATAATTTACGAAACATCGCTGAGTATAATAATCCATGAAAATGTTATCCTTGCTGAGTCGGGGCGGTAGAGTGACTCGGGTGCAGCGGGGGGGGGGCTTTCATCGAAAACTCTGCCTGATCCATTCAACACAACAAAACAAATCACCACATTTTGTTCTACTTTTATAAGTCTTCAGATAGGTCGCATTGGCACATGTCAATGGTCACATATGATACTGGTAATTATAAAGCTATTTGCGATAATGATCCTTATTGAAATGCATACGTTCGTTACCTTGAGCGTTTCATGTATTATAATTGCCCCTTACGATGTACAGTTCAAATGAATACCTTGAAAGTTATTGTAAACTCAAAATTATCTTGCGACAAAAGACAAAACCAATTCAAGAGGCCTCACATACCGACCTGACACGCATGATGAAAAAAGGTTGCAATTGCGTTAGTGTTATTTCACGTGAGTTTTGTTTCGATTCCCAGTTTGGTACAGGTCGAAGATGTACAGTTATTGAAATTTGTTTTGTTTCATTGAGAATAGTTTGGGAATCGTCCTCAAAGTGTTTCGCTTTTTTTAACTGATTCGGAACTATTGCAGAATGACGGTTATCAGACATTTCAGCGGAGTGTGATTGCGACTTCCATTTCACACATGCACATTATTAGATGTTTTTCGTTGTGTTGGGTATGAATGTGCAGTCCTTTTTGTTCACATAACCTCATTTTTCACCTATATTTCATCTAATATTTCTATTTTTATAATTGGAATAACATTTACGAAACAACTTAGAAATAATTGCATTTATATGTTTTGTTTATTTATTTGTGACAACTATCACAGAACTCATCTGTAACGTATATTTTCGTTGCAATTTCGTGAATGAAAATCCCTTCTAACCAGATTTTTTTTCTTATTGTCCATACAAATGTTCGTACATAATGAACGAAAGTTCATTAGATATAATTACCATAAAGTCTATCATCAGACGTGAAGCAATCACTATTATAATTTAGAAGTAAAACGCCCCCGACATGCTCAAATATAAGATTTATTAGTAACACTGCGTTGGTGAAAAAAAAATTCGTCCTTCATGCATCATGTATTGAAATCACATCAAGTTCTGCCGATCATCTTTATTAGAATGTCCAGATGTTGAATGCGAAATGAGTTATTTGAAAAATGAGTAAAAGCAAATCGAATGAAGAGTTTAGTGACCATGAGAATTTTAACAAAAAACTAACATATACAAAAGTTTAAAATTCATTAACCCAACTCTCCTGACTAACATATGAGATTGACAGTATTTACAATGCTAATACACCAGGTGTATTTTGATAATGTGATATTTATACAGTGCGGAAGTAAGAAGCCCCTTTCAAAAGTCTCAAGTTTTCAAAGGAACAAAATATGAAGGTCATACAAAATTTACCACCATTTTAAGTACGTTTCTATTAGAAAGATGATAGTATCACTCATCGCCGAGAAGGCACTACCAACTTTTTTCAAGCGAAAAGGGGAATCTTGTGTATTCAATTTTCAATCCCATCAGGCATTGCGGATTAATTGGCAGGTTTATATTACTTTTGAGAATCTGCTTCATTTCGAATCGACTTTAATCTCGAGTTAAAAGTCGAAATTTCGCAATTGAGGTCGAAATTTCGAGTTATGAGAAAGATGAAAGAGAAAGCATATATTTATTATTTCTGATATGAACCTGACAAAATGTACCAATAATCAGAAAAGTATTTTCAACATGAATGTTTTTTCTTTATTGGTCTACTTGGCATTCATCACGTTCTAACAAAATTTAGGTGAAAATGCATTGTTTTCAGTTTTTTTTGGTGATAAATACAGGATGTTTCCTAACTACGGTACAAAACTTCAGAAGGTGATTCGTTAGGTCGTTTTGAGAAAAAAAGTTTTTATGAACATATTTTCGGAGTTGCTTCGTTTCTGAGATTCAGAGCGTTGAAGTTTAAAAAACGGTATTTATGAAATATCATAAATACATTTACAATGATTTGGTTGAAATTTGCTTCAGCGATTAGGGTTGGTGATGTCAAGATGCTGACGAGAAAAAACACCAAAATAAACTGAAGCCCGCTGTGTATAAACCACATGTTCCCTATTACAAGTACCGGCACTTCTTCTAACGAAATGGGTAAATGATCTCGCAAAGAGCACGTGTAGAATTCACCTGTTAATCTTGCTGATAGAAAAAAATTGGCCAATTAGGTGGTCACCAATGATTCCCATCCAAACGATCAGCAAAAATTGTTGCTGAAAATGACTTTCTCTAATAACTTGGGGATTTTCGTCGGCTCAAAAATGGTCATTGTGAAAGTTCATAATAGCATCTCGTGAAAAATTTGCTTCGTTGGTAAATGAAATATTTCGTGAGAAATTATTATTTCGTGCCATTGTATGAATCAACCACCTGCAAAACATTATTCTTGGGTGAAAATCCTGAGGCAGTAGAGTTTGGACCCGCTGTACAGGAGGTTTCGCTTTAGAATTGTCCATACGGTTTTTGGGCTGACTTTCAGCTGCGGTGAAATCTTCCTGGTACTATTTGAAGGATCTTTTCCTATCGAATCAAGTATAGCTTTTTCTAGTTTAGACGTTGGTACAGTTTCTGGTCTTCCACAAGCTGCATTTTTAATTAAAATCCCAGTTTCACATAATCTTACATGTAGCGTTTTAGATGTTTCAGCACTTGGAATCACTCTGTTAGGATATCTGTCCTGGTAAATTATCCGGGCTTCTTCCGCATTTCCATTTGCTAATACATAAATCCATGTTGACAATTTCAGCTTTAATAAAATTATTTATGATGGAATCACTACTAATTGACAACTCTAACTTTCACTGATATGACAACTCTATCACTATCAACTGGTCTCCAAAACAGGTGTTCATGATATGCAAAGTGGCTTAAATTTTTTTTCTCGAAAATGAAGGTAGATATGAAGAAAACACAAGCGACGAAAAAGTTGTATTTTCAGTTGATTATCTTAAGAAAACATAACAAGAAGCCAGTGGCGTACTCTATTTTCTCAATATTGTTGGCTGAGACTCCACTGGACCTAATAATTTCAATCTAGTTAGTGCAAAATAAGCGCCTCATTACTTCAAATATTTGTAGCAATTCTCAACCAAATTGATCTAAGGATATTTATGATATTTTATTAATACCGTTTTTTTAACTTCAATGCCCTGAATCCCAGAAACAAAACAACTCCGGAAATATGTTCATGGGAACTTTTTTCTCAAAACGACCTAACGAATCACCCCCTGAAGTTTCGTACCGTAGCTAGGAGACAACCTGTATAATAGAGTTGCTTGTATAACT